CGCGAGTGGCGCCCCAGAGGGGCGCCGACGAACGACTAGCTGGTGCACTCGACAGTTGCATTTTGAAGGGCGTTAAATTAAAAAGATTTAACAAGAGAATGTGAAGGGGTTAGATCTGATGAGTTTCAAAAGGGACTCAAAGTGATAAAAAAGGAAAAATATTTTTGTATGCATTCTAAGACCAGTTTTTCTCGAAGAATAGAATATAGTGACAATGTATGGATGAAAAACATCATTAAAACAGTTAAACTCACTCCATCGAAAACAAACTTGAAAGGAAAAGAATTAGTTTTTCGGTTCGTATATTTTTTTGTGGATTTAGAATGTGCATTTGCTGAAGTAGATGATCAGCTAAAACAGTATATGTCTTTTTCGGTTTTGCATAAATGTATGAAAAAGAAGAAAATAATTGGAAATTGTATGTTTGTTTTCGTCTTATGAAAATATTTATCAATTAAGTGAGTCATTTGTAGTTACTATGGAATGGTTTTTGACTATTTATTAGTTAAATGTACGCGATAAGAGTGAATAAGCTATTGAATTTGGTCGTGTTTGATACTTATAAGAAAGGTTCTTTCGTGTTTTTAAATCTATCATCTGCGGAAATATATAATGGATAGGCGTGGATCTAACATTGAGACCTGGCATTAATTTGTTATATGCTATAATTACTATTATGAAAAGTGATACTTTTATCCTGGTATGTTTTCGGGAATTCTGATATGTGCAGTGTCTAGCTACTGTTATTCAAAGAAAATAGTTTTGAAAAGGCATATGTGAATGATATCGTAGCTGTTGTATTACATGGTCAATAAGAGTCTGTCGTTCAAGTGCACTTATGTAAAAGGAGGACTTAGCCGTGGCTGGTACCCCAAAGGGGCGCCAATGAACTGTTAATCGTTAACATTGCAAGCATACTACAGACTGATCTCACTAAAGATCTTTGTATCGGTTAGGCATTTTGAAGAATAGTGCACTAAGATTTCCTTAATGAGAACCTCAAAGAATATTCTGGTTTCTCAGTTCTACAATCAAATTGCGGAAATGAGAAATAATTCATGAGAAAACTTTTATTTGAAAATTCCTATCGATAATTCTAACGCTTTAGACTAACGAAGTTTTGAAATAGTAAATTCTGGACCAGGTGAATTTAAAATACAGATGGATAGTGTTGTGAAAAGATGGGAGTAGACCTCGCAGCAATTAGTCGCTCATCGGCGCCCCTCCGGGGCGCCACTCGCGGCTAGCTGTTGCACTGGGTTATCTCCAGAAGTGCCGCTTCGAAGTGTTGGGATTCATTGAATACAAGTCAATAGTCGAAGTCAAATGGGTCTGAATAAGGAATATCAGATACAAAAAGTTGAAAAAACTATGTCAAGTCAAGGATGAGAACCGGTTTTTATGTTTCGACAAAATAACTGAATAGTTCGTCAGAATAAAAGTATTACTGAAAGAATTTATATTCGCTGCATCGGTAGTGAACATGAATGAAATAAAAGAATGTTTCTTTTGGAATTTGGTTTTTGTTTGTATTAATTCAAGTATCTGAATGTACATTGATATATTCAAATTACCTGTCTAGTCTTATCACTACTTTGAATAAGAGCTTATTGTATATATCAGATTTCGATTAGAGATCAGATATAATATGTTTTATTTTCGGCTAGGGGTTCCACAGAACTTCTATTTTCCTAGAGAACTCTATAGTCAACAGCATTATCGAGGAATGTTCTAGAATGTGTACAAATTTCTAGTAGAATTTTCAAAAAGTACTCTGCGTTTTCGTATTATTTTTGTGAACTTCTATTGCTATATCGTCTGTGAAAAATTGAATATGATATCATGTTCAGTCGAGGGCTAAGCGAGTCGAAGCGACGAGCGTTACTTGTTTTTTACAGTGTGGAAAGGCGCTAAGTGAGTCTAAATTTCCACTATACACACTTCAATCCGGATCAATCATTACAGCTCCGTGAATTTTTGGCGTGAATCTACAGAAAAAATGCCATTTGCTGTCGAAAAACTCGAGAAATGGTAGAAACTTGAAAGCAGAGATTGATTGATAAAATTCTGTCGCCAGATTTTCTACGTCCGATCGCAAACGGCTGTAACTTGGTAAATTTGCCAACTGTATATGACCATTGTATTCCTGATTTCAAGCTCCTACCAGTTTCCTGAGTTCTCCAGCACGACACGATTCGCATTGCTCACCTAGAAAACACCGATTCAGCATCGTATTTCATAAAAGTAGCAGCATATTTTGGTGATCATGCTATTTCTGAAATTTTTATTTTTATACTCGACGCATAGGAGGAGAAAAGATATCAATGAAACTGAACAAAACTAATAAGACGAGCGAACAAGATCCCCAAATTCGATTTCTACATGTATGCCTTTTATGAACAATCCCTAAGGATCTAGTAAACATTTACATCTTACGTATATAATACTTCTCATGGAAAAAAATGGGATAGAATATAAGCTTTGGCAAGATACAATTTTGCAAAAATTACGGTTCAATTTTGAATGCTTTCAATAATAGCAATGCTAGAAAAGCAATCAACATATTGAAATCGATAATTATTGTGCGTTTGCATAAGTAATCAAGAGTTCATCATATTTACATTAAAAAAAAATGCGATCGCACATGAGTAATGTCTTTAACATGACTTTATTAATGTATACATCGCGTTATGCTTCTTCAGTGTCATTGATAAATGAGACTTTCAGCACTATATAGTTCATTCTTCATAACAATTCAATAATCTGTTAGCTATTCATTTTTCACACATGAAGAGCACATAAAATTGCTTGCTTATTGATATCAAAAGTGGTTCTACGTGTAAAGATAATTTGTCGAAAACATTTTTCTATAAAAGCTCTTCATTAAGGTGGATTTTTACATAGAACTTTACGCTAGTTTATACATTTCATTAAGTACTGTCATGTTCTAAAGTAGAGTTGTAACCGTTCATGGTAAACGACTAATGTGGTCCAGTGTGCTCTGATATAGTCAACTTCTCCTTTATCAGTCCATGTGAATTTTTTGGGTTGTACATGCGTTTCCCAAATATCAAATATAATAGTGGTTTTTCGGAGATTAAAAGCTTTTCTACTAATGCCAAAGACTTTTGGTGAGAAAATATGCATTTGAAAATTCTATTATACCAAAATTCGCCATAGAATCTTTATTATATTTTCTCAACTCACTTGGATATGACGTTATGTTAGTAAAAAAATCAAACAGTTATTTAACATTGTAATTTTTCATAGATTTCTTTTGTATTTTCTATTATCTATAGCATATATTTGTGACAGACATAAAAGGTAACAAAGAGACTACATCATGGGAGATAGACGGAGTATACAGTTAATAAATAGAGTCGATATCTGAAGACTAGATAATCGAAGCGCAAAAACGTTATAGAATTGGTAATCATTTAAGTTTTCTGCTTACAAATATATATTCGAGAGTTTCAAACATATCATTGGACCAACCTATCTTGGATAGGCAGGGGCCTTGAATTTCGAGCTTCCTCAGATCAGGCTGAGATCTCGCAAAAGCCAGACAGATCGCTTAAACTAGACAGATCACCTGTCAATCATAATTATTGCTGAGTTTTCTACAACAAAAGCTTCACTTTTTGGAAAATGTAGGTATGAAAATATAAAATCTAGAATATTTCCTCTAGAAGATGATAAATGGTTTCTTATCATTGTGACTCAACACAATCATAACTATTAATACACTGAGACTACATTGTTCGTCATCTATTTATATATATAGTCAATTTATCCATTTCGAAAAGTTATTGTTCGTGATTTTTAATTGATTACTGTTAAAATTTTACATACAGCCTTTCTGAAGACTTACGTTTCTCATTCATATTTACTGTCGTACTATGGTTAGACTAATATGTTCTCTTCAACTGCTTTATCCAATTCATTCTACAAAATTTTACTCAAAAACAAAGTTTTCTCTCAGTGTTAATACTTTCTTTCCCGTCTTTACTTAACAGTTACATACTGCGTTAAGTCCATAAATCTGTCATTTAGTCGTATTACTTCGATACCTGTATCTTTCTCTCCTCCTTATAATGAGTATTTTCTGGTTTTACTCAAGTATTATCCTAATATTAGAATGTAGAAACAAAACGTATGCCTTGAAAGGCAGCATACAAGGTGAACAAAATGAAAACTACCCAAGTCAAATTGATGAAAGCAAATGGCACATGTAGGCCGACTGAAGAGGTCCATAGTTTGTCACGACAAACGTAGGCCTATCAAAAGTACATCAATTTACGCCTATAGTACATGCGAAGGAAAGAAAGTCGTAAGAAGATAACAACTAACCAGCACTACACTCATGGAACAGTGCTTTATCATACTACTGCAGCTATTAGGAAAAATATATGACTAATACTTGGGATTAACTTGACTGTTAAAAAACCAGAATCAATAAAAACGCACGTATCCGTACATCCATCGGTTCGGTTACGTCTGATCCGTTGTACTAACCTCGATACTAGTAACAAAATCACTGTAGCGATTTCAACACTACTTTAAATGATACAAGACAGTCATATATATGTAAAATACCTTAAGATGAAGTACTACTCGGTTTGGATTCCTCCACTCCGAACGACTTTGGTGAAACTTTACATAAATTTACTATTTTCCTCAAAACCCCTTTTATTTTCACAAAAATCCAAAATCAGAATCATTGAAATCTAACTTCAGATTCGGATTCTCCGACCTCGACCTCTTTCGTCAATCTTTAAAAAAATCATCCATTTCTCAAAAAATCCTTTCCTTGACCCAAAAAATAGAATTTCAAAATTTTTCAAATCTGACTTCACATTCGAATTCTCTGACCTCGATTTCATTTCGCCAACCTTTATAAAAATCATAATTTCTCAAAAAACCCTTTCCATGACCAGAAAAATTGATTTCAATATTTTTCAAATCTGACTTCAGCTTCGGATACTCCGACCTCGATCTCCTTGGGCCAACCTTTATAAAAAATCATTCATTTCTCAAGAATCCCGTTCGTTGACACACAAAATCAATTTCAACATTTTTCAAATCTGATTTCCGATTCGGATTCTTCGACCTGGATTTTCTTTCACCAACCTTTATAAAAAATCATTCATTCTCAAAAACCCTTTCCTTGACCCAAAAAATTAATTTCAACATTTTTCAAATCTGACTTCAGATTCCTATTGTCTGACCTCGATTTCTTTTCGCCAACCTTTATAAAAAAATGATTATTTTCTGAAAAATCTTTTTCATTAAGCAAATAGGAAGAACTGCATTTTCCGTTACCCCCGTTCGCGAGTAACGGTAACTTTCCATCCCTATTTAAAATTGATAGTTTTCGTTCACTTTTATAAGTATCAATAAATTTTGATTAAATATCACTCTTATTGATCTGATCATAGTTTCTATAATGTTTTGCAGGTTTTTTTTTCGTCAATAGAACAAAAGAAATAAAAATAAAATTTCTTTTTCGCGTGAAATTATTTGCGTTCATGCAAGTGATAATACTGCTGTATGGGAAGTTTTCTGTACGTTGATTAAAAATTGTTTTTTGAAAAAGTTAAATTTTCACTGGAGTATTTATTGTTTCATTTAGTTTTTTTTCTCAAAACATCAATGAAACTATGAAACAGGTTGTTATTAAATAATTCGTCTATTACCAAAAATAACCTTGGAAATAGAATTTTCTATTGATGATGGAATGTTTTAATGCAGTACAAAATTAAAACAGAAACGATGCGATAGATTTCGTTCTCTTTTTCTTTTGAAAGTCTTGTATTTGAACAAAAAAAGCAACACAGAAGTTTTAATTATTGTAAAAGTAGAGCAATTACATGATTCTACGCTAGCATTACTTACAATAAAACTAGAGAAGTAATCAAATGATTCTCAGACAAAAAGAAAAATCCCGTATTTAGCTGTAAATTTCAATGAGTATGCTTTAAAAAATTAGATATTTCTTCTGATCGTACCAGTTAAATTACAAGTATCTCATGAATTTCTTAGCAAAATGAAGAATTCATTTTCAATGAAATTACTTTTTATTTCTACTCCATACTTTTGTTTCATTTTAGTACCACCACTACGTGCAAGTTCTACTGATATTCGTCCCAATGCAAAATGGGCATAGAATGGTATCACTGTTGCTGGAGGAAATCGATTGGGCAGGGGAACCAATCAACTATCGTACCCATGGGGTTTGTACGTCGATGATGATCTCACTATATATGTCGCTGATTGCTGGAATCACCGTATTGTGGAATGGAAATCTGGTGCAACGAATGGCACAGTAGTTGCTGGTGGAAATGGACAAGGAAATGGAGCTCATCAGTTAAACCGTCCACGAGCTGTGATTATCCACAAAGAGAGCAATAGTCTCATCATCAGTGATTACGAGAATAAGAGAGTAGTTCGATGGTCTCGTCGAAATGGTACTAGTGGAGAAACAATTATTTCAAATATCGCTTGCTTCGGTTTGACAATGGACGACAATGGTTATCTCCATGTCGTTGGCATTGATAAAAATGAAGTGAGACGATACAGAATTGATAAAACTAAAGGAACAGTGATTGCAGATCGCACAGGAAAAGGAAATCGTTTCTATCAACTCTCTAATCCCCGCTACGTATTTGTCGATCGAGATCATTCAGTTTACGTGTCTGATTATGGAAATGATCGTGTCATGAAATGGGAAAAAGGTACAAAACAAGGTATCGTCGTAGCCGGTGGTCAAAGAAAAGGAAATAGTCTTACACAATTAAATGAACCTGAAGGAGTCGTTGTTGATGAATTGGGTACTGTCTATGTGGCTGATTTTGGAAATCATCGAATCATGCGTTGGCCAAAAGGAGCCACACAAGGAAGTGTAATTATTGGTGGAAATGGTTGGGGAGCACAGTCGAACCAACTCGATTGTCCCATAGGTTTATCGTTCGATCGACATGGCAATCTCTATGTCGCCGAATACCAAAATCATCGAGTACAAAAATTTACTATTGTATAAACTCACTTCATATGATTAAATTTTTTTGTTTCGTTCTCTTTTTTTCTCTTTCGAATAAATCGTGATTGAATGGAAAAATGAATTGCAAACTATTTTATTCTTGCACGCGCTGAAGACCCACATCATTCATATGCATTCATCCGATTTCGTATATCAGTGGATCTGGGGGCTCGATCGTGTGCCACGGACACCAAGACAGTATCTGGTCGGGCTTTTACGGACTACCCGGAGGGTGTGGGTCTGACCAAAAGAGAATATAACTTCCACACCCATTCACGCCATCAAAATAAACTGATACAAACTTGTGGGTGTGGGTAGGTGTGTGAGTGTGGGTGTGGGTGAGTGTGAGTGTGGGTGTGGGTGTGGGTGGGTGTGGGTGTGGGTGGGTGTGGGTGGGTGTCTGAGTGTGGGTGAGTGTGGGTGTGGGTGTGGCTGGGTGTCTGAGTGTGGGTGTGGGTGTGGGTGTGGGTGTGGGTGGGTGTGGGCGGGTGCGGGTGGATGTTTGAGTGTGGGTGTGGATGTGGATGTGGGTGTGGGTGTGGGTGTGGGTGTGAGATGGTGTGGGTGTGGATGAACAGGAAAAAACACACCCACACTCACACACGCACACACCCATACCCACACCCACACCCTCTGTTTCGATTAGATTGACTTAAATGTTTCTTCTTTAAAGCTGCAATTCAGCAATGCATTAGACTATGCCATGTTGATTTTGTATGCTTGTGGAGCAATGTTCTATGCCGTCGGTAATCTATTGTTTCTTTTACTTTTCGGACAATTGATCAATCTTTTTGTTGTATACACGACAACAACTTCTTGTGTTGATACAAATACGTTTATGCGTGACCTTAACAATTTGGCACCAAAGAAGAATGATTCGAACGCAACGTATGACAGATAAGTTTTCTTATCTCAAATGTTTAACTTTGTCAACCCGAAAAAGAAGTATTTTCATTATGTTTTCAGTCGTATTAATGTAGATTGAGATGATTATCAACTGAAATGGATATTCAAAGACTTCGAGCAGATGATTTGCAAACTTTATTTGTCCTTCAAAAGGGCTCCTATAAATTAGCAGAATGATGATTCTCAAAAAAAAGAGTGAAAAAATATTCTTCAATATAAATCAGGATACCTTCGCAAGTCGGTCATCGTGAAAAGAAGGTTAGCATTCTCCTCATATTCAAATGATATTCTTTCTTCATCAGATATGGTCAATGAAAATAATAAGATTCCGATTAGTAAAAAGAAGCACTAGAATAATGTAGTCATTCGGCAAAAAAAAATACATGATCATCATTAAGAGAACATATATGAAAGTGTCTTGTATTGCATTCTATGACATTGGTAATTCTGAGAAACTTGTAAGAAAAAAAACTTTCTCGTTAATCTGTCAGTAATGATTCAAATATTTTATATGAATTCTCATTGAGCAAAGTACTCATGTGAAGAATCTTTAATAGCTCACTTATTTCTGTTTACAGTGCTTGTCAATCTATGAACGAAACAAGTATGAATTCAACTCTCAATCTAACATTTCGTGAAGATATCCACACAAAAGTAATTTATCTTGTCAGTAAGTAGAACTGCTCAATTTGTATTTGCACTCCATAATAATTTTTTGTTCATCGATTGAAGTGATTGGTGCAGTACAAAGCTCAGTTTGCTGCCTTCAATATATTTTCTTCGAGCTGGCATCTTTGCAAGTGACCAACCGCATGAAAGTAGAGATTGCCAAGGTCACACTTAGCCAGGTATGTCGTTTTATACATTTCATTCGTAAAATATTTATGTAAATTGTTGCAACATAAGTGTTAGATTAGCAAAGAAACTTTGTAAGGGTGTGGATGTGGGTGGGTGGGGTATGTGGGTGTGGGTGTGGGTAGGTTAGTGTTATTTTCATCTACACACACACCTACACACCCACACATCCACACCTACACCCACACCACACACCCACACCCACACCCCACACCCACCCATAAACCGACCCAAGCGTTTCTCAAAGGGTTTAGGAAATGCTCATAAACCTATGCAAGGGTTTCGGAAAGGGTGTATAAAACAGACCCGTCCTTGAGACTCATTTTGAGGCACACCATATCAACCTGTTACCCTTTCCCCTCGCATAACAACAAAGAACATTAGGAAACAGCGTTATCATGGCTCACAACTGTACATGTTCTTCTAAGCAAAAAACAAACTCTAAGTGGTTCGAATGATACTCCATGCAAAAGTTTAGATTGCCAAATGAGATTTTTTTTGTTTATTTCGCAATCTAAACTTTTGCATGGAGTATCATTCGAACCACTTAGAATTTGTTTTTTGCTTAGAAGAACATGTACAGTTGTGAGCCATGACATCGCTGTTTCCTAAAGTTCTTTGTTGTTATGCGAGGGAAAAGGTTGACAGGTTGAATCGGTGTGCCTTAAAATTAGTCCCCAGCGTTACTTATGATTACATTTGTCGCGATGGACCTAAATAAAAATAATAAAGTTATATAAATAATACTTATATATCATTTTGAACTTCATATTGTACTAAATAAAGAAAAACAAATATATACATACAAATAAATACTTACTTTGCATTTCCTTGTTCCAATGGACCCAAATAAAAAAAAGATAATTATTAATATAAATAATACTGACATTTTATTTTCAACTCTATATTAACCTAAATCAAAAAGAAACATATATAAGAAAATGATACTTACTTTTGATTTCGTTGTTGCGATTGATCTAAATGGAAAAAAAAAGATTTATATAAATAATACTTACATATTATTTTGAATTTCATATTGAACTAAATAAAATTTTAAAAAATGTATACATAAGTAAATAATAGTTACTTTTGATTTCTTGTTACAATGAATCTAAACAGAAAAATATAATTATTAATGTAAATAACACTTACACTTTATTTTTGAACTCCATATTAACCTAAATCAAAAAGAAACATGGATAAGAAAATAATACTTAATTTTGATTTTGTTGTTGCGATTGATCTAAATGAAAAAAAAAGATTTATATAAATAATACTTACATTTTATTTTGAACTAAAAAAATATGAGTATATATACGTATATATAAATGTTACTTACATTTCATTTCGTTGTCGAGATTAACTTAGCCAAGAAAGACGAGTTTATAAAAATAATACTTAAGTTCATTATGGTGTTTTTATGTATATAAAAACTACGTTTTATCTTGTTTTCGAGGCTGACCTGAATGGAAAAAGAAAAACTATTAATGTTAATAATACTTACAATTCATCTTGTTGTGAAAATTATTATCCATTTCAAAATAAAGTGGACTCGGCTGTTTGTTTAATAACTCTGCAACGCTGATAGCTATCGAATCGCGGTTTTCACCGTTAGACAGAGGGTGGCTGAGGGTACCTGTATAGCTGAGAGTCAATGAATTTTGAAAGTTTTATAGAAGTTGTGCAAGTGCTTTTTTATAAAACTCTGACTGACTCTTTTGATTAAACAGATTATTAATTTCAATTGAGCCAAATTGTAGCCGAGTATCTGCTCTATAAACGCTGAAAGTTTCAGACTCCCCTTATGTGTCTCTGAGATAGAAGAAAAAATCTCCTTAAATCGAATGATGCTAAATTTTCAAAATTTTTTGGCTTAGACCTCTGATCCATAGAGGTAATAGAACCTACTGATTATTGTAACGTTATTAGTTAGATGATTGAAGAACTTTGATTGCTTCATATCACCTCGTATATGTCTATTTCTGACGATCCCCACTAATCGATTCAAGAGAAACATTCATTTTTTACTCGTTCATATTTATTTATTTTTGTCTATTTTATCACAATGACATGTGCATGCATCAGAGTAGTTATCACAAGTCCAAATGGTACAGAAGAGGGACGCATACAAATTGTCACTTAGAAATATCAGACTCATTGTCATCCATTGCTGCTGAATCTTCTTTTTTAACAGTTTCAATCAATTCTGGCTCAATATTGTTTTCCACAATGACATCGGCTTAGAGGTGTAAGCCGAGGGTCAAAGAGCGGCGGCGCCTACTAGGCTTTATGTTTTCTACGTCGTCGGCGGTGGCTTTAAGTATAAATTATTTTTTTCCACAGTGGTGGCAGCTGCTATAGTTTATGTTTTTCTCCACCGGCGGTGGCTTTAACAACCAGAAAAAAAACGTTTTCGCTCCTAAAAGTCGAAAAAATGACCCATTGCAAATGTATCTATGTCAACGGTGGTGGTGCTTCATACTATTATCAAAAGTTTTCGTTCGTGTCGGTGACGCACTGGCCGAACTAATTTTTCATAGCGGCGGTGGCTAAAAAATTCTTAAAATTATCTACGATTTCGTGGCGGCGGCGGCTCAGCTCGATGGCTTACACCACTACATCGGCTTCTTTGAAAGTATTCTCGACTTTGTATGCATGCTCGATGAAACTTTGTGCTAAGTCTTCATCAACGGCAGCAATAAAATTGAGCGCACTATCTTCAACCTGGGAAAGACGAAAATTAACATATCTGTTGCGCACGTATGACTTGAGTTGGGCCCATGTAAGCTCTGTGGGATTGAGTGTACAATGCTTTACCGAAAGTTGCAAGATTTCGACATCGGGGTATGGATGTGAGTGTGGGTATGACTGAGAAAGAGACCAATACCCACACCCACCCATGGAGTAAAATATTGAAGGAAACGGACTGCGTAACGCGTTTCCGAGATTGTAGCATGCGTTTCGCAACGTTTTTGCAATATAGGACGCGTTTCGCAGCATTCTTACTTACATAAAATGCGTTTTGCCACAGTCGTTTTTTGAAACGATCCGAAACGCTTTTTTCAAGATTGCGTTTCGAGGCGTTTCCGAATTAAAATGCTGTCGAACGCACTTTTGTCGACAGGCGATGCGTTCCACAGATACAAATTGGGGAAAACGTAAAACGCGTTTCTTTTTCAAATGTGTGTTGCCTTGTTTTTGCTTGGAATGATGCAAAATATATCCATTCTGCATACAGA